CGGATGCTTATGCATAATCAATTGGAGGTTCTAACTTCTAACTTCACATAATGTAGCCAAAACCATGAGGCAATCACTTCATTGAGTTCTGCAACCTTCACATAATGCAGGTGATATGTAATGCTAGTTTTCTTCAAAGTTTTACTCAGTTTCAAAATAAATCTGTCAAAATGAGTTTCATGATAACGGAGTTTGCAAAAATTAGGGGATGTCTACAACTGCTTTGAGATAGTTCTGTCAATAGTGATTGTTTGAGTCTGACAGCCTGTTGGGTACATGTAGTTCTCTGTCGCGGCTAGATGGCTGGATGCAGTTTTTCATTTGAAAGCCTTGATGGACTTTTGGAGCTGAAGCTTTCATGTTTGTTTTTGCCTAGATACATTCTTTTGTCGAACTATATCAATAAAGGTTATTGATTGGGCAGAATCATATCTGAATATGTGGTCAAGATTTAAAGTTTGACATTTCAAACTATTTTAAAGAACGTTTCACGGCTTTTAGATCAGCACAGGGAACATCTCTTCAAACCAGAGATTGGGGTCAACCCTCAACAAATTCTCTGTAAAACCTCCAACCATACATATGAACACAACAGCGGGTGAGCAAACAATTGACCAGGGCATCAGAATGTTTTACAGTTTTGCCTGGTGACTGCATCAATGAGACAAAACGCCGCCGCAAAGGCAAGTGAACGAGTTCACATACATACAAATCTTCCCATGTTTTACACACGCTTCCTGTCAAGCATTTTGAAGATGGATTGATTCTTTTGACAGAGGAATCTTTGTTCCTTTCAACATTCTCACTACCCTATAATGAAATTAACGAAACCAACCATTTCAAACAGGTCAAGCATAAGAGTAGCAGTACAAAAATAGGTATGTGAAAAGAAAAATAGATTGACAACGAGATTATATGGAGATTATATACCACCAATATTAGCTCTTCCACCACCAATAATAGGGTTGGGGCCGTACAGTCTTCAATTCTGGTATTTGTGCAAGAATCTATCAAAATCAACTTTATTATCAGCATGATAATTATCGCAAACTTTATTAAAATCAAATGTTACAAATATACTAATATGTGAGAAGAGTACACACAAATAATGGTGAGTAACCAAAACCAAATTGGTTACTTTGAAATGGTGACCGACCTTATCTTTCCACTCACCATGTAAATTTGAAAAAATACAATCATATCTTTCCACCCACCATCATTCCTAAAATACCCTTTAAAAAATAATTAATGAAAGATTTAATTGCTTAAACCTTCATAAATTAATTATCAAATTAGAGATTGACTGCGTTTTATTTATTTTTCTTTTTTATTGGATAAATTTCACTTTATTACCCGAAGGTTTCTTGAAGTTCAGACTTTACTCTAGCTCTAGCACTCATCTCTCGCTCCCAATCCACAATCCACCAACTCCATGTCGATATCTCATCAGCCCCTTGCCCTTCTTGGACCTCCAACAACCCCACCCCATGACAAGACCCGCCCTGAATTTCCTCGGAATCTGGGACGAATCCCATCTTATTTCCGACATCTTACTGATGTCAGGCCCACTTACTAAGAACCGAGACTTTTTGCCGAAATTTTGGCAGAGTTTCCCTTGTAAATTTGACTTTTTCCAAAATTTTCAACATGTTAAAAAAAACACAGTTTATACACAACTGGCAGCACGCACAAGTTAACCATCAAGCAGTTTACAAACTAGGCCTCTAGCCTTTCAAAAATTCGAAGTAGAATCACCAGCAATACCCTTACGTCACAAAATGAAATTAAACGATGCAATTAAATGAACTCCAATTTATTTATGCATGCCCACCGCAATTAACATAAAATAACTTCCCAAATTTAACAACCCAACACAATCACAAGTAGTTTAAGCACTCGGCCCAAAATCGTACAACAATCCAAAATGGGTTTCAAACCTGTCTTGGCCACAACCACACTTTAACAACACTCACTTAGCTCGATGGGAAAAAGAATATTCATTCAATCAAGCCTCATTTTTAGACGAGCTTTAAGACCACCAACACGGTCGACACCAACCTCATCCAAAAACCAAAAGAAGAGAGATTAGATCCAAATGACCAATTTAAAGTTCCTAAAATAACTTTAGCTTGCGGCTGCACCTAGGTAAGACCCCAGGCTACCTACATACCCTTTCGTGAGGGATCAAGCCACACGTAGTTCTAACAACAAAATCCTGGTTCATAATAACATACAATCAATTACAACAATACAAAATAGTAAATTCTAGAATTATCCCTTTTCCTTTTCTTTAAATTTTGTCATATCCAAAATAATCTTTTTAAACATTAAACTTTCCCCGACATAGTATAATAGTCCCTTTTTCATTTCCCTGTTACTTTACTACACGTCGGAGAGTCCAACGCCACGCGTAGTAAAGTATTAGTGACCCAAGTATACGAATCCTTTATCACACGCCAGGTAATCCAACGCCATGTGTGATAAGCTAATAACATAAGCGTACATGCCCACACGTCGGATAATCCAACGCCACATGTGGCAAGGTAACTAGTATTTCAATGAGCCCACATGCCGGAAGATCCAACGCCACGCGTAGTAAAGTATCAGTGCCTGTTCGGTTCATTTTTACACATGATTTTTCATGTTATTCACCCACTATTTTGAGTTAGTTCTTGACATTTTATAGCTTTTTACTTCCTTTTTGTGTTTTCTTAGATTTTGCCTTGGTTGGGATGAAAATGAGCTAAAAGTGCATTATTAGTTATAAATTCTGTTTTTGTTCATTTTCGTAGGTCAACTTCTTGGCCTGGGATCAACATGCTCTGGTGCTCGGATGAGGTCATGATGTTCATGAGACTTGTTCCAATGGATGTTAACTACAACATATCCAAATTTGAGCTCCATTGGACAAGTATTGCCTATCCAACCAATCCATCATGTTACCACAGTTCTGGAAATCCGGATTTGGCCAGCTTTTACCTCCCTTGTGTCATCTTAACTTCTTGTTACCATAACTCTTGGTAACAAGGAATTACATTTGTAAAATAGATATTTTCGGAGCTTTTGGCATCTTTGTGAAGTCAAAGCTCCATCATGGCAAGGGGACAATGGGCTAAGGCGTTATAAAAGGTGGTAGTTTTATATTAAAAGGTAAAAGCTGGAAAGGAGGAGAGAGGGAGGAGAAGTCAAAATTGCAATCTGATATTGGGAGCCTTTTGATCGTGGGAAATTAGGCTATTCCAGATTCTACACAATTGAGAGCAGATTTTGGAGCTTGGAGCTAGGAGAAAGCCAAGGTGCAGTCAAGAAAAGTGGAGAAGAAGACTTCCACCATTGATGATCTTGAAGCTTTCATCATTTTCTAAAAATCTGTAAACTCTTTCTAATTTCATTTTGACTTTGTATTTCAAATAAGTATGAGCAACTAAACTCTATAGCTAGGGCTTAGGTTGAAGCCCTAAACATGAATACCTTATTGTTTTGATGCTTGAGTGTATGAATTTCTAGATATTGTTGATGAATTCCAATTCACCAAATTAATCTATCCTTGATGTATGTTCTTCTTTGATTGATCACCTTTGAAAGCATGCTTCTTGAGATTGTTGGGATTATGTGTATCCTCATGTTATCCTAAGCAATAAATGGATGAAGTAAGAATCATCCATGTGAATTGGTTTCTTGAATACCTAATGTAAACACCATGATATTAGGGTTCTTGTGATGTTCATATTCTCTTTGAACTTAATGGGTTCTCCTTATAATTGAATCGAAGTACGAACCATACCTAGGTTCGGTTATGAGGAGGGCACAAGTATTGTAGCACGAACCATGCACTTTAAATACATTAGAGAGAATCAATGCGTCTTGAGCCACTCGTACTGGTCTTGATTGCGAACATCTTCAACAACACGTTTAGAGTTCATCACTTGAGTATCCATGAACATGGATGGAATTGTTTAGGGTGGATTCTGAAACCCTAGTGTTTGTTACTTTTTAATTCCACTCTTTGATATTTCATCTCTGCAATTCTCATTTAAATTCAAAGTCCATTTACTTTCATGCAATAAAAATAGATCACTTGAAACAAATCAAAACCCCCCCCCAATGTGTGTGTGAGTTGTGTGTTCGACACGTGGTGTGTCTTTGTTACTGAATTTTATTTGTTTCCGTAATTGTTTTGGACTTTTGGTCAGCGTTGTGTTCTTGCATTTTCTGTGCTGATTCCAACCGTATAAAGAACGTGAAATTTGGATAAACGGTTGGAAAGTTATAGGCAAAACACTGGACAGAGGTCGAAACTGAAAAACAGAGAAACGAATCTGTCCAAATGGTGATAAACGGGTGATAGAAAGTGCTGTTTGTGTTTTTCTTTGTTTTCTTGTGTTGTTTCATTTCTTTTATCTTCCTTACTTCATTTTTAGTTTCCAATTTGTATTGTGTTTGTGTGTTGTGTAAAATTAGTGTTCTTTACGTACTCAAATTAGAACTTATAGGAAACCGACAAGTTCTTCGTGGGATCGACCCCGTACTTACATAATCTATACTTCATTAGATTCGTGCACTTGCGGGTATTTTTAATTGGTTGTTTGCACATTAATTTGTGTCCTTTTAGGAATGCAACAGTGCCCAAGTATACGAATCCTTTATCACGCCGGATAATCCAACGCCACATGTGGCAAGGTAACTAATATTTCAATGAGCCCACATGCCGGAAGATCCAACGCCACGTGTGGCCCAACCAAACCATGTTCTACGCACGCGGACTACTTTATCACATGCCAGAAGATCCAACACCACGTGTGATACTAACAACAAAATCATATATGCCCACACGCCGGAAGTTCCAACACCACGTGTGGGTACCATAACACTAAATCCTACGTGCGTAGACAACTTTATCACACGCCGGAAGATCCAACGCCACGTGTGATACTAGCAACAAAATCATATATGCCCACATGCCGGAAGTTCCAACGCCACATGTGGGTACCATAAATCAAGGGATGGTACTTAGTATAGTGCAACCACATATTCACATCACCATCACAAGGCATCTTAACTCATATAAATCTTTTGCCCAATTATTTCATCAAAGAATGAATATCAATTTCTCAACATTTATAATCCGTATTCCGAGTAATTACAATCTCAAATATCAAAATAATAGAAATATTCACAATTTAGCGATCTACTTATAAATACATATATAAATATTCATTCCATGATCATATAAATTCATAGTAGATTGCATGGTAATTTAATCAATGGAAATAATGCTCTTTTAAACCAACGATCATTCACATGAACATAAATGTCATAAAGATCCTAAAACAATTTAAATAGAAATCAACACCTGTTTTCACATAAATTCCATAAAATTTTGTACCCCACAATTAAAACATTATACTTTAATTATAATCATAACAATATTAATTTATGATAAGTAATAACTTTTATAGAAAAATCCCATATTGAATCAATTTCAAATCTAAACCCATTATGCAAGAAATTCCATAGGATATTATAAAACAAACTCCTAATCCAACATAATTAGAGCAACTCAAATAATGATCAAGACTCGTTTACATGGTCGTTCTAGTAACCGAGGGGTCAAACGTGCCAAAGATAGTGTTTAAGATAGTGTTTAGAGAGTTGAGAATGTGTAAGAAGGTGGGTTTTGCAAGAATTCCAATCTAGTTTTTCTCATTACACATTTTGAATATATATCTACAAGTATAGATAGATAGCTATAGATAGCTATCTGTTGGTTACAACAATCATGAATTACAATCTCCAAAGCATGAACTATGTTTCCATGTTTCCAGCACTTGTGTTCCCCTAAAACATGGAAATGTATTTCTAGGTGGTAGACAAGCTTTTCCATGTTTCCAGCTTGTCTCAAGTCATTGTCAACACTCCCCCTCAAGTTGGTGCAAAGATATCACGCATGCCCAACTTGTCAAGTGAGTCATAAAAGACTTTACTTGATACGGTCTTCGTCAGAATATCAGCAAGTTGTTGCCGTGATATATGGTGATAATTTTTATGGAAATTTGGAAGATATATGGTGTTATTTTTTACTAACCTTGCTTGAGAGTGACATGGCCTGAGATATATGGACATGGCCTGGGATATACGGGCATGTCTGCCACTAATCTTGCTTCTAAATAATCACTCTTAATTTGGGTTTGTTTGGGATGTGAAATTGGATGAGTTGGTGATAAACTGAAATGGGTTCCGATCATTTGTTCTTGTCTTTAAGTTCCTAAAGCATGCAAGCAGAAGCACTGAGACTGAGAGAGACAAATCGATTAAAAATAAGAGAGCATTGATACTAAAGCAAGCAGAAGCACTCAAGCATGCAGATATCTCCTTCACAAAGTACTCAAAGTTGTTGCTGTGATATATGGTGATGAACTGAACTGGGTTCTGATCACTTGTTCTCGTCTTTAAGTTACTAAAGAAAGCAGAAGCACTGAGACTGAGAGAGAATAATTTCTTTGTATAATTGCTTTGTTGGTTTTGTTTGTATTGTTGAATGGAAGAAAGAACTAATGATGAAGTCAATTGGGTTGTATTCACCATTGTTCATGTATTTAAGTTACTAAGCCAAGCACAAGCACAAGCACTGAGAGAAAAAATTATACATAAAATTGCTTTTTGGGTTTTGTTTAGATTGTTCAATTGATTTGGAGGATGACTAATCGATGAAAAATAAGAGAGCATTGCCCTATCATAGTGGTTTCATTAAACAGTCTTCTCTTCTGCTTTCTGCAAATATGTGCACTACATGACATGACATGACTAGTACCAAGTAGCAAAGCAAAGATACGATTAATCCAATCAGATACGACCCTGAAAGTGTAATCATATTCAGCAATAAGCCAAACAAAATATCATTCCCCTGTCTCGTATTTTCTCCCCCATGACCTGACTGAAGAGAGCGAAATTCAATCCAAGAATCCTGCTATCCCAGGTCAACCTCCCATCACCATGGCCTGATTGAAGAAACTAATCAGAAGAGAGAAGAAAAAAATCACCCCACGACAAGAGGAAGATGAAAACCGGGGGAGAGAGAAGAAGAAAAAAAAGGAAGAGAGAGATAAGAGAGAAGGAAAGGCAAGAGAGAGGAGAGAGAAAAGAGAAGAAATAGATATAACCCGTTCAAATGCGGGACTAATGAAACCAACGAGGAGAGGACTTGACCTGCTTAATTTGAGGCCTTCACACAAAGTACTCGAAGTTGTTGCGAAAATATCGTGATTCGAAAATACCGCTGTGTAGAAATTACCTATGCCCAGAAAATAATAGCAACGTTCTACTTTCAGCTTCATTTCTTCGCCATTTTCAGCTCTCCTCCAATTCTCTGCATGCTAATTCAAAGTCTCAAAAGAC